AAGAATTATACCAATATTCTTCCTCAGCTTCTCCATTATTAATGGCAAAGCCTCCTCACTGCCTGCCTGTGGTCACCTACTGAGCCCCTTAGAGCAACTTCAGGGTCATCATCTTTAACATTTGAGCTCTCAGCTACTTCATGTGAGACCCACACTGCACCCAAAGGAAGCCATGGAAAACATCCCATGTCTGTACATGGATTTCTGGTGTTTGACTTTTCATGGAATCATGGAATGGTTTGGATTGGAAGGGACCTTCAAGATCATCTAAATCCAACTCCCTGCATGGGCAGGAACACCTTCCACCAGCCCAGGTTGCTCCAAGCCCCATCCAACCTGCCCTTGGACACTTCCAGAGATGGGGCAGCCACAGCTTCCCTGGGCAACCTGGGCCAGGGTCTCCCCATCCTCTTAGTGAAGAATTTCCTCCCAATGTTTAAATTAAAAAATGTGAGTGACAAGTGCCTTATGATCTTGAAGAGGGGAGATTCAGGTTAAATGTTGGGTTGAAGCTCTTGGCTGTGAGGGTGGGGAGACCCTGGAACAGGTTGCCCAGGGAAGCTGTGGCTGCCCCATCCCTGGGGGTGTTGAAGGGCAGGTTGGATGGGGCTTGGAGCAGCCTGGGCTGCTGGGAGGTGTCCCTGCCCATGGGGGGGTTGGATCTAGATGATCTTTAGGGTCCCTTCCAACCCAAACCATTCCATGATTCTATGATTCTGTAATTTTCCAGTCTTCTCTTTCCTGACATAAAACCTTCAGGGATCCACCTTTAGTTTCACCTTCATTTCAGGAAAACCTGAAGACCACTAAGAAAGGAAATGAAATGAAACACACCTGGTGACAACTCAGTAAAAACATCCTGAGATACAGCAGATAGAGAAATCTTTTACATGGACAGAACTGTAAGAAAATCATGAGATCCTCACTTTCTTTAGTCTGATGTGCAACTGAAAATGATAAAGTGATTACACAGGTGATGAAATATCTAAAACATTTCTATTTCAGCCTATACTGAAAACAACTGAAGATGCACAAATTCCCAATATTCAGCCATGGGCTGATGATACCAAGGACACAAATACCTTGACTTGCCTATTTTAATTTGATGTCATTCCATAATTATTAGGCACCTAAATCCAGGTCCATGCCTTTAATCTAGTTGGAAGGGTACATTCTCCAACCATTAGTGGATCGTTTGTGGGGTTGGAAAAGATATACTCCCTGGAAGCTTGAAATGTTTTATTGTCCCCCCAAAAAACATCCCTTCTAACCACCTCAAAGGCTGAGAAACCCACTTCATAATTTAGAGATAAACTATGGCAGGGAGTCAGCAGTATTAAAATAACACATCTATAAAGAAGGGAAGAACCAGCTTTTGTTTTGCGTGGTGCATTGCAAGTTCATAATTGTTCCCTGCTCCCACAAACTGCCAGCTCAGCCCTCTTCTGGACTTTGGGCTTGCAAAAACAACAATGATCTCCAGGAGGTCTTGAATTCCTAAGAATCAAAGACAATCTCTTCAATCCACTCCATTTCAGTCAATTCATTTCAAGCACTTCTACCACATCTCAATTTTTGTGCCAGTGGGTGCATTTGTATTGAAAAATCTGAGGTTTCCTCAGACCTATTAAATATTCTCAAGGACCATCTTTGTATTGACAATATCAAACCAACTTGGAATTAAGGTTTTGGGGATCTCAGGTCCCTTTGTAGCTTTAGTTACCTTCAGAAACTCCTTCCTCATTTATCTCTTAAACAAAAGCAAGTCCCAGAAACCAGGAATCATAGAACCATGATGGGTTGGGTTGGAAGGGACATTATAGATCATCTACATCCAACCCCCCTGCATGGGCAGGGACACCTCCCAGCAGCCCAGGCTGCTCCAAGCCCCATCCAACCTGCCCTTCAACACTGCCAGGGATGGGGCAGCCACAGCTTCCCTGGGCAACCTGGCCCAGGCTCTCCCCACCCTCACACTCCACAATTCCTTCCTCATGTCCAACCTCCAGCTCCCTCTTCCAGTTTTAATCCATCCCCCTTATCCTCTTGCTACAAGCCCTTGTCCAAAGTCCCTCCCCAGCTTCCCTGTGGATTCCTAAAGGCTCCTTCCCCATCTCCCATATGAAGTCCTGCAGACATAGTCCTACACTTATTTGTAAGAGAACAAAACTGTTTGAGTGACTGATGGATGGAGAAGCTGATTCAGCTCAGATCTGCATGACAGGAGTTCCCAGCACTCAAAAATGAAAGATTTCACGATTTTTTTTCCCCCGAAGTTAAATTTCAACATCCACACCAACACCTTTTAGAGACTGAAGGACACGTTGCAGGTCCCTGAAGCTGCTGCTGCTCTTCTGAGCTGAATTGTCCCCATTACAGCCAGTGTCAAATACTCCTGGAAAATGCCATCAGCTCCCCAGGGCGCTGTTTCCCCCAGCTGTGGGTGGGGAAGCAAAACATGCTGAAACCACCTCAAACTTCCTGCATATCACATGGACAGTCTTTAATTTCTGTCCTGACAGGTTGTAAACTGAATTACATGTACTTAAACAAAAATCTTGTCCATGACAGCAGTTTATAATTCTGATAAACTTGTGAGAAACTCTTCAGGTGTTAATACAAGAAGATTAAAAATTAATGGTTTAATAATTTCTGTCGTAATCCTAAGGAAGTGACTGGAATAATTCCAGGTATTAATTTTCCTCAAGTCGTCACAAGATGAAAGAAATGTCTATAATTTAAAGTCATGTTTAGGTCCTTATTACAAACAAATTTGTAAGGACTCATAAACCTCAATAAGCAACCCAGTAATTTCATCATCTCAACGAGTTACACGTGTTTGGATTTGGAGCAGACAATCAATGTTGGTCTGGTACCTCCAGCTGCTCGGGTATAAAAGCTCTTCCCTCTCAACCCTCTTCCAAACACTTCCCTTGTCCTCTTGGCAACTTGGGTAAGTCTGATCCTTCTCTGTTGCTATCAATGTGTCTTTTTGTTGCTGTTTTCAACCTGTCTGGATGTTCCCCATCCATAGCTTTGGGTGTATCTGCGTTGTTTTGGGACAGAGATTCTGATCCTGGCTCTGGGGTGGCAGATCAACGTATTTGGTGTGTGGAGCCCCATGAAGTTCTCAGTATGGACTCTACAGCAACTGGAACATGCTCTTAGCCATCTGGTTTAGTTTTAGGTAGATCTATGAGAAGCAGGGAGTTGGACTCTATAGGGTTTGGAGCAACCTAGTCTGGTGGGAGGTGTCCCTGCCCATGGCAGGGGGGTTGGATCTAGATGATCTTTAAGGTTCATTCTAACCTAAACTATTCCATGATTGTATGACCATTATGGGTCTCTTCCAACTTGAGATATTCTGGGGTTATGATTCTTTATTGCATTTAATTTAATTCACAGTCTCCAGATGAGGTTCAAGGTTCAATAGGGGCATCACCACTGCAGCCATTCATGCAACCTGACACGAACTAGGGGTGCATCTGAAGAAGTTTTATGTTTTGTCCTAGCATAGCAAAGCTTCTGGTTGTCCTTTGCTTCTTTGCTTTCATATTCTTCCTCAGAACCCTGCTAGGGACTTGTGAGACAGTGAGTGGAGAAGAGGAAAATGCCCCTTGGAGAAACTCATGAAGTTTAGAGGGGAGAATGTAGGTTAAATTCCTGGTTTTACCAATGTTCATGCTGGGAATAGTAATTTGAAATCAATTTTTGACAAACATTAGGGACTAAAATGCTAATACTATTTAAATTATCCAGGCTTTATGCATACAGTGGCTGCATAGGTGGGAACTGGGGTAATAACACTATCATCTGTCCTTTATTGTCTTGTCAAGTGGCTTTCTGAGCAATCCAGGCAGGGACAATCCTATAATCTGTTGTTCTGACAACTCTCAGCAAAATTGGGATGAGTGGGAAGAAGAAGCTACTGTAATTAAGTTACACAGAAACTACATCTCCTGTTAACTAGCTGAACATAAACCCAAACGCTCCTACTGACTCATCAAATGACCTTGGACAAAGTCACTTTGCTCTCTGGTTTTGGTTTTCGGTTTTCAGTTTAAGGTGCAGACACATATCTAAGTTCTTTGCAGTGTATCCATGAGGGACAACAGTTCCAGAGCTAGATATGACATTTCCCATATGATTCTGCATGTGTAGGTATCTTAGAGAGAATTTTGGAAAATCTGCATTTTGAGAAAGGAGGATGATTATTGCAAAGTGAGAAGTAATTTCTTTACTCACAATCCTCTACTTGACTCATTAACTTCATGTAAACTTTTTAAATTTTGGAGTCTTTGTCTTTGATTTAGTCTCATCAGCAGTGAGAGCTGCAGGTTTCTTCCATCCCTGGAGATGTTTTGCCAGGACCTGTGCTGTAGAAACCTACCCCTGGTGACCTGAGTGTAGCAGTTTCCTAGTTGGGAAATCAGACAAAGAACCTTTTCGAGCTCCTTTGCAGGCATTTCAGGGCAGGGCATCCCTTGTTTAATCCATATTTATGGCAGGGTCAGCACATTGGCAGCAGGACTTGAGCTGCTGCTCCTGCAAGCACAGGACAACCCAACAGCCTGCAATTATTCTTCCATGAACCCATTCATTCACTACAGGAATTCTTGAGTTTTATCAGCTCACACCACTTTGGTTTTGCCAGTGGAAACCCAAGATGAAGTGACCTCTTAGACACAGATAGTGTGAGAGTGGCTGCAAAGGGCAGTGGAGGGAATTTGTCAAGTCCTGGAGACTGTTTTGGCAGTGTTGGGCAGTGAGGCAGGACAAAGAGGTACTTCTGAAAGGGAATGAAGTGTAAGAAACAAGGCTGGAGAGCAGAGCAGAGAGCTCAGGGTGCAAGCTGAGCAAGGCTGATCCGCAGCAGGGAGAGCGGGCTCAGGCAAAACACTGCAGAGCAGGAAGGACAAGGGAGACCTGGAAGATGCCAGTGCAGGTGTCCAAGTGGCAGCGTCTTCTTGCCGTTGACTTTGTGTCTCTGGTTTCCTCAGCAGTGTGTGCTGCAGCTTCCCCCAGCCCTGAAGATGTCTTGCTACGACCTGTGCGCCCCCTCTGCCTGCGGCGTCGCCTGCCCCCAGCCTCTGGCCAACAGCTGCAACGAGCCCTGTGTGCGCCAGTGCCCCGACTCCACCACTGCCATCCAGCCTCCTCCAGTCGTGGTCACCTTCCCCGGCCCCATCCTCAGCTCCTTCCCTCAGGATGCTGTGGTGGGATCCTGTGGAGCTCCCGTCCTGGGGGGTTATGGGGGCTACGGGGGCCTGTGGGGCTACGGAGGCTATGGGGGCTACGGGGGCTACGGAGGCTACGGAGGCTATGGGGGCTACCGGGGTTCCAGGGGCTATGGGGGCCTGTGGGGCTATGGTAGACCCTATGGCTCTGGCTATTGGGGCTACAACAGGTGCGGCTGGGGCAGCTGCGGGCCCTGCTAGATCCTCCAGGAATAGCCTCTGAATTGTGTTCAAGTGAAAAGCTACATGAGATTCCCCAGTGAGCAGATGGGTGGGGTCTTGTGAAAGCCTTCCCCAGTCCTGCGCCCCTGAGTAAGGAATACCTGCAACTGAGAGATACCACCTTGATCCCCAGCACTGATCCCAAAGGAGATGTGAAGCCCTGGTCTCTGCTGCCCCACTGCAGGGGAGCTGGGAGCACACAGCATCTTCTTCATTTCTTCACCCTCTACTCATAGTTTTAGGGGCTTTTTTTTCTTCTGTGTGTTTAATGGGAAGGATAAAACTACTTTAGGTTCTTGTAAGATGGCACTTCCTTGTCCAGCCAAAGAAGAACAACTATGGAAGGAATTGCCTGCCCTCTGATGAATGCTCTTGATATTCTACAATGCTTTTCTGTTAATGTCAATTTCTCATTAAAGTGATTCTGCTCTGCATCAAACAAATCAGCTTTTAGTTTTCAGTTCTTCTCCCATAGATCCACAACCCTCCTATCTGCACATGGGGAAAACTCCCATCCTGACATGGGATGAGCCTCAGTCTTAAAACCACAGCTGAAATATCCCAGCTGCCAGGGAGGTCTGTCACCCTTTGCTGCACTCAGTGCACACCCCTGGGAGCAGGAATCCTCCCTTCCCAGCTGACCTTGGTTATAATAGTACCATGAGCTGGAAGGTCTTTGTTGCTCACAGAATTGTCACAGTTGAAAAAGACCTCTAAGATCACCTAGTCCTGCTGTCCACCTAGGGGTGGGAGAACAATACAGCCCACCCAAACAAAAAAACCAACCTCAAAAACCCACACCCTACAAATCACACACCACCCTACAACCTACAGAAACCCCCCCCTGCCCACTAGAACATGTCCTGAATTGCCACATATACATGTATCTTGAGCACCTGCAAGGATGGTGACTCCACCACCTCCCTGGGCAGCCAGTTCCAGGGTCTGACCACTCATTCAGTAGAGAAATTCTTCCTAAGATCTGGTCTAACAGATCACAGCAGGAGCAGAGCTGGTGGCTCAGCTGAGGCTGGTTTCAAAGCAGATTATGGGGAAAAGGGGGCAGATGAGGCCCTCAGGTGGGAGGAATGGTCTTGAGGCAGAAGGGATTTAGGGAGGTGGGGAAGGGGTGCTGAAAGGTATTGACATGGAGCATGGAGCTGCTGAGGGAGAGAACTGGAGGAGCTGCAGCAAGAACCTTAAGAGGTGGAAAGACTATTTAATGGACCTTTTGGATGAGGAATCTCCTGGGGGAGGCTGAAAGTTAGAGCTGTTGAAAAGGGAGGTTTCTGTGTGGAGAATTCCCTGGCAGAAGGAACTAGGAAACACACCAGCAGTGCTGAGGATCTGAACAGAGGGTCCTGACTTTTTCTGCTTGTTAAGCTTTCCAGGTTTTTCCCCAAGTCTGTTCTACCTGTTCCTGCTGGCACGGGTGAATGAACCCTGGAGGCAGCTTTGAAGTAGGCTTTTTCCCATCAAAAAACACCTGCCACTGACTCACAAAATCACCTTAGATTTCATGACCACACAAAAAAAACCCCTTTCCCACACTTCAGTTTGAAAAGTTCCACTGTATGGCCCAAAAAACTGTCTTTCTTTAAGGATTTGACAGAGGATTATTAGAGACTGAGGACAGAGTGTAAGTATCTGAGTAAGGACCTGAAGTTCAAGGAGATTAATCAAAGGCCTGGAAGAAATTCTTACTAAATTCTAAGGTTTATAAGAAAGTGTTTAAAATTAGTATTCTACTCTTCTGTTTCTCTACCAAGCAATTAGTGTACAACTAAGAAGTTAATTCTTTAAAATGTCAAGAATCTTTCACTGAAAAATGAGGACAGGACAGTTCCTTCAGAGCTGAGGGCTTCATGCTGCCTTTGTACACCTGAAATTAATAATCTTCTAGGCAAGGTATTAATCTGAACAGTTTAGACTGTTCCTGACAGCTGCACAGGTTGGTCTTCTCCCAAGACAAGGGTAGAAACATGAGAAACTAACACCAGAACATGGCAACTTTGATGCAATGAACTTTTAATGATAGTGAGAAAAGAAACACATTTTCAGAACCTCCACGAAGTTCACAGCTCTTCTCCAACCAGGGATACATTCTTATAGGATTGACTTTTTTTTTTCTTCCTGAGTCCTGGCTGTTGAGTTGGACAAACAGGAACCATTTTGAGCAACTTTGTTACACATTTGCCCCAGGCAATATGGAAATAGGAAGGGAGAAGAATTAAGGCAGAAACTGAAAGTTAGAAGTTTGGAGAAGTTCAAAAGGGGCTAAAACAGCTCCGTGGTCTTGGAACAGAGCTGTTGAAGTTCAGACCTCTCTAGCTGTGAAACCACCACATCTCAGTTGTTGGTTGTACCTCACTTGGGATATTTCTTGGGGATTTAGCAGGGCCCACAGCTGCTGCCACGGCGGTTCCTGCCATACCGGAAGGAGGAAAGGCTGGCGGGGCCCGAGCTGTCATACAAGCCCCTGTAACCCAGGGAGGAGCCCCCATAGCCCAGAGAGGAGCCCCTGTAGCCCCCCAGGCCCCCATAGCCCAGGGAGGAGCCCCCGTAGCCCCCCAGGCCCCCATAGCCCAGGGAGGAGCCCCCATATCCATTCAGACCCCCATAGCCCAGGGAGGAGCCATAGCCCGCCACACCCCTGTAACCAAGGGAGGCCCCAAAACCCCCGTAGCCTCCAAGGATGGGCACTCCAGAGGATCCCACCACAGCATCCTGAGGGAAGGAGCTGAGGATGGGGCCGGGGAAGGTGACCACGACTGGAGGAGGCTGGATGAAGGCTGTGGAGTCGGGGCACTGGCGCACACAGGGCTCGTTGCAGCTGTTGGCCAGAGGCTGGGGGCAGGTGACACCACAGGCAGAGACAGGGGTTAGGTCGTAGCAAGACATCTTGAAGGGTGGGATGGAAGTCAGTCTGTAAAACATGGTCACTCATGTTAACATGAAAGAGATACAGAACATGAGGTGGTGCTGAAGCAAGAATAGACCTGGGTAGTCAACCCACTTTTTAGTACTGTTATTCTTCCCAGCTCTTGAATCTGGAGGTTACTTTTGACTTCAGTGTGATAAAGTCCTTACTTTTCAATTGTACCTTTGAGATCTCCTTTCAAGTGGGAGATAACCCCGTAGGGGTTTGGAACTAGATGATCTTTAAGGTTCCTTCCAACCCAAACCATCCTCTGATTCTTTGATTCTATTATTCAATTCTATTAATCATTCTATCATTCTATTCCCTAAGGAGTTAATTTTCATAAGAATACATTGCTATTAGTTGATGGTTTCGACTTCCAAAATTTTATCTTCCCTGTTATAAAGCCATCAGAACTCTGCTAAGTGCAGCCGTAGGTCCATGAAAATACCTTTTATTTCCTAAAATATTCAAAAAATGCTTTCAAATGCTAAAATGTTATAAGTTTGGGATTCAAAACTGCTTCGTCTACCCCTCTTCTAGGCCTAGTAACAAATAAGAAACCAAACATTATATCTAGCAGCAAATAATCTACAGGTTCTTTTCAGTTACAGGCAGTAACTGGAGAGGACTTGGTCCTAAGTTAAAAATCAAGAGTTCTTGACAGCAAGTTGAGTTTAGCAAAGTTTGAGAGAAATCTGACTTACCCAGCTCACGAAGGCAAGTAAAGCGAGAGAAGTGGATAGAGAGCCCGGGTGCAGAGAGCTTTTATAGGCCTCCCTTCATTGCCTGGAGGATTTGAGGCATCCTGTGCAGGAGTTCATAATTAGGCACCAACCCCAGATTGGAGGACACGTCGTTTCTCAAAGTGCTGAAATGGTTTTTGCTGATTGTTTCCAGCCCACACATGGCTTGACACTCGTACTCCACCACAGACCTCACCATTATCCCCAGGCTTTGTGCGTGGGATTACTTTTGTTATTCCACTGCTCTCTTTACCATCTGGGGAGGAAGGAAGCTGATTTGACTTATTAAAGAGTCCCGGATTATTAGGATGACAGGAGGACAGCCATTTCCTTTGTCCAGCTACAGGTCTTTCAGTGTAATCAACCGAGAAAATGGACTAACAAGGGTAAAAACATTCTTTCTGCAAACTTAGCACTTCTACCTCCAGCTACTCAACACGAAGCAAACAAAGTAATTATCAAACAATCTTATAATGGCTTTAGGATGGTTCTCTACTAATTGTCTTTCAGTCTCAGAAACAGATCTATCTCAGCTGGCATTCCCAAGTATATGGAAACATGAGTTGTTTCATCAAGTTTTGCTTTCCTTTATATTTTATTGTGTTTTCTCCTCTTATTAAGTGTTAGACAGATGTACCTAAGAACATAGGACTAAGTAATCTAAGTAAATCAGGCAATAAGACACAACTAGTGAAGGCACTCCAGCCTTGATCCAGTGAAGACAGACCCCATTGGATCCTAGGTTTGGAGTTTTTTGGCTGATGGTTCAGTTAATCCCCCTGGCTGCCCAGGGAAGCTGTGGCTGCCCCATCCCTGGCAGTGTCCAAGGGCAGGTTGGATGGGGTTTGGATCAACCTGGGCTGGTGGGAGGTGTCCCTGTCCATGTAGTGAGTCGGATCTAGATGATCTTGAAGGTCCTTTCCAATCCAACCCATTCTATGATTTAACATAAGCAGGTTTCTGTTTCTGGATCACTTTTATAAAAGTGTAGGAAGATTTTACAATTTTATTTTTAAAGGAAAGTCCCAGAAGTGTTATAAACCATGAACTGATTATGGGAAAGACCCAGGTGATCTTAACTCACTACTTTAAAGTGATAATCCCTCATAATAATGGGATGTCAGCAACCAGGCACACTTTTTATATCATTATGACACAGTAACTACAAGCCGGTAATAGGTGTTTATGAGGTGTTTGAAAATCCCTTGGAATGTTCTTGTAAAACTTTAGGATGGCTTTTTTTTTCATTAGTACATCTCAGGAAATCTCCATCTGTCTCTCCAGATTTGGAAAGGCTCATAATTGAGAAATAATATGTGGTCTGATGATAATGAGGTTGATGATTATGATAAGTGTGATAATGATAGAGTATTAGATAATGGCATAACCCAAGAAAGAAACCTCAGCAAAAGGAAGGATTTGCCTGGCCCAGTGGATTTCCAGCTCATTAATTGCTCTCTACTGAAAGATGCTACCAGTGATGGGGTTGGCTGCAAGATCAGTTGTAGACCAGGGGCAAGGACTCCTAAGGAGCAAGTTAGAAATGAAAGAAAACTTCAGTAAAATGGTCCCTCTCAAAGTTGTGGATCAAACTGAGCTGAAAATGTTGAGTATCCCTGCTTAGTGTTTCAATATTCACTGGTGTCCCTTAAATGGCACTTAGATATCTAAAAGGTTGCTTTTACTTATTGGATGTGCAAGTGAAACGAGCTGCAGAAATCCTTTGACCCCTCAGAATGGTCTTGGATTCAAGCAGGAGGTCTCAGGTGTTTTGAACAGCCAAGAGAAGCCTGTTCAAGGTACCTGCAAATGTGTCAGAAGGGCAGAGATAAAACATAGAAGATGAAAAAATGGAACTCCAGAAGAAGTGCAGATTCTGGGATGAATCCATTGACTTGTTAGTACTGTGGCTTGGTCTGTTACTCTGAAATCTCTCTTCTCAGCTGTCCCTTGCAAAAAATAAAGGCTTTTTTTCCTAAAACACTTACATTTCAGGATTCTCCTATACACCTTCTACAAAAGCACACAGCTATCCCAGCAAATCACAAATTTAGTTATTAGTTCACTGTACACTTGGATTATTTTGAGGTTTCCATCCTGCAGATTACCTCTGAAAGTAGAGATATTTGTATTTATTTTTTTTTTAATTCAGCTTTAAACAGTTGCTGGAGAGTCAGACAAAAATTAATCTTGTTTGGGACAGATGCAGTTGTGTGCCTGGGAATGCTCACAATATAATTTGACTCAGAGAGTATTGAGAATCCTCCATGAATTTCAACAGGAATTGTATCACAAAATATCAAAAAAATAGAAAAAAATATTGCCCCACTTCTTGAGGACTTTAAGAGAAAACTTATGTAAGGGAATTTGAGAGAACTGCCTCACAACAGGTAATTTCTGATAAATTATTTTATTATTTATTATTAATAATATTAAACCTGTTAAATAAAACATAAAAATAGATAATCTGATTTTAAAATTTAATATCTCTGTCATACAAGACAGCAAAAGAAGAATATCTAAGTATAAGCAGCTTCCTACAGGAGGCAACCCTAAAGAGGACAGACAAACTGATATTAATTTCATAAATCATGTTTTAGGATGAAAGATGCATTAATTTCAGCCATCCCTTGTTTTTAGATTAAGGAACCTGGCGTGATGTAACTCGCATGTTTTGTTACATGATAATTGAAATCAAGTAACAAACAAAAACAGAATTAACACCATTTCATCACTTTGCAGAGCTACCAATACAAAAAAATGTGCCTTGTCAACTACTTGGATCCACGTTCACGAAACCAGCCTCTCACCCCTCAGGCAGTCTGAGCTGTATAAAAGCTCCCTCCACTCAGGGCTCTTCCAACCACTTCTCTTCACTCATTCTTCTCAGAGACTTAGGTAAGTCTGAACCTCTTCTTTATAACTATTGGGATGGTTCTTGGTGATACCGTTTCATCCAGGATGGGCTTTTCTGTTGGGAATTAGTGGCTAAAATTTTAAATGGAAAGAGAAACTTGGCAGAAATTATTCAAAATGTTATGGGTGGCTGTTCTCTGAAGAGAAGTCTCTGCGTTTTGGAGATGAGAAGGCTTCAGGGAGACCTCAGAACAGCCTTCAGTACCTAAGGGGCTCCAGGAAAGCTGGGGAGGGACTTGGGACAAGGGTAGGGAGTGATGGGATGAGGGGGATGGATGAAAACTGGAAGAGGGAGATTGAGGTTGGACATGAGGAAGAAATTCTTCCCTGCGAGGGTGGTGAGACCCTGGAACAGGTTGCCCAGGGAAGCTGTGGCTGCTCCATCACTGGGGGTGTTGAAGGGCAGGTTGGCTGGGGCTTGGAGCAGCCTGGGCTGGTGGGAGATGTTCCTGCCCATGCAAGAGGATTGAATCTAGATGATCTTTAAGTTTCCTTCCAACCCAAACCATCCCATTATTTAAGGTTGGCGTTTCATTTTGAAGCAAAGGGAAAGGTTTTTGATATGGCAGAAAATCAAGTTCACGATTAGTTCTTTTCTGACAGATGAAGAAATGATGTGACTCTTCATGTGTATTTCTCTTCTGTCTGTTTCTTTGAGTAACAGGAAATTATTTGAAAAAGTTTAAATCTTCATGGTCCCCAGGGAAATGTTGAGCTTAGAAGCAGACTTATTATCTTCAGTCCATTCTATTACAGATCACTCAAAGTGTTTTTACGTTAATTACAGGTAATGAGCATGAATAGCACCAGAGATCAGGCACTGACTTAGATACAGTAGGACCCAGAGGGAAGCTGAGAGCTGGTGAAAACACCCTAAGAAATCTATTTAATTAAAGAAAGAAGGGTCATGGAAGGAATTTAAGGAGCTGGGAGATGTTCAATAACCCTTAAGAAATCTATTTAATTAAAAAAAGAAGGGTCATGAGGACAATTTAAGGAGCTGACAGGTGAAACACTGGGTTTTTCATGTTAATGAGGGCAACTTTTTTGGGGTGAGATTTTTATTTTTTCAAAAGGATTCAGAGCCCAGATTCAAAACACTGTGCTGTTGAGCTAGTTGTGAATATCTTGATGCCTCTTTCAAAGTTTGGAAAATGGGGACAGTAATTTTTGCAATATCCTGGTAATGGTCTCATCAAACAAGTTACTGAGAAAATCTGAATAGATAATGACTTATAATCCCTGTTCTCACAAGGCTCAGCACAAAGGAGATCAGTGGGAATGAAGAGTTAAGAGTCATGAAATCAGTCCCAGTCTTT